TTGAACAAATTGATCTATAACTTCATTGATCTATAACTGACCCTAGTCCCTATAAAAGGTTCCTTTCAGTAAAGGGTTTTGCATATTAAAATACGAGTTTTCCTTATATCAAAATACAAGTATAGCGATGAAATCGACATAAACAAGTTCTATACAAAACGAAATCTATGCACAAAATTTTATAAGTATCGGTTCATAATTGACGCATATAAGGTGCACTTCAGAAAATTACTCATACGCTCACGATTTAAATACATATTGAACAAAAATATTTTGTTTTTAAAAATTAATATTTTGTTAGTTCAAAGGAGCTCCGTCCATAATTGATTTTGATAATTAATATTTAAAGGGGATATTTAAAGGGGGGCATTCCTTTTACGATATCCGGTTTGATGGTGAACCGAATATAATACTCTTCTTACTTATAAAAATTTGAAATGCTCCTATTGATGATTTAAAAAATCTATGAAAATTGTAATCCAATCTACATAATATTCTCATCTTATTTTTAAATAAGTAAGTGCATTAAATAAATGGTTTTGTCTAAACCAAAAAAAAAACTAATAAAAATATAATTTAAAAATTAATTTTGTTAACATCAAATATCATGGAATAATTTTCTATCAAACAAAGATTACGTTTTAAATAAATTGTATGTAAATAATGATAATTTAAAATGTTCATGCCTACTGCACTCTCTACGTTTAATACTTCTCCATTCTACTCGTAGAAAACATTTTCTTTTAATTTTTGTTTTAATCTCTCAAATATGCAAAGTCTTAATTTTCTTTATTTAACATTTTTTGGGAAGCAAAAAGTAAATTGAAAAGAAAAAAAAAATTGTTCTTCATCCTTGCAACTTATTATTATGCAAATAATAGTACACAAAATAATAGGGGCCATACTAGGGATTATATATTCGATTTTTAATTTGAAATTCATTGGAAATTCGTTTTGTGTTGAACAATGAATGTAAAATAGAATCAACGGTATGCTTTATAAGAAATTGAATATATTTATATTTGTAGAGGTATGTTTGCAGGGAACCTTAAAACAAATTTATTTTTTTTACTATTTTGGCGTTTTAGAAAATTGAAAGGAAAGCTGGAAATGAAAAAACACAACGTAGAAAAACAAAAATTTAATTCAGAAATGCTGATATGAAAATGAATTAAGCGTGAAATTATTCAATAGTTATACAGCATAGCAATGTTATATTATTTACTAACGAACTACAAGATGAAATTTTTGGTATCATGTTATGTGCAAAGTATATTTAGTGGAAATGTATTTAAAATAAGTTTTATAGAAATTTTGTATTTAATAAAGTTAAAAAACTGTTAACATATTTAAAGGAATTTTTTCACTAGATTTAAATTTAGTTTGAGGAAGCAGCCATTAGACAATCTGATGGAAAGCCACTTTTTAGTTCCAGTTCTGTTCTAGTTTAGTTCTA